GTTCAACTTAGCGATGTACTTAGCGATCGCGGTCAGCAGATCAAATTCTCACCGGCGAAACCGAAGCCAACGACGAGGCGCGCCGAGATGCAAACCACGCCGTCTGCCATGGCCCAGTGGGCCTTGGCCGCCACCGCTCGCCCAGGGTATAAGATGGGATTCTTGAGCATGGGAGGCGTCGACAACAGCGCGCGTTCTGGGGCAATCACCGCGACCCCGCCAGCTGTGCCTCCACGACCCGTAGAGACAGAAGGAGCCCAAATACCACGCATATTCACGTTTTTGCAGCTGTGCTGAACGTCGGGGAGCTTCGTCATGTCATAATGATGCCCTTGGACCAACACAATTCCACGACTGTAATCTGGAACGCTCAGCAACCTGACCAACGGCCCGTGCGACGACGCGTTGATCGCGCAGACTGAGCTTGAACGAACAGACTTGTGTAGCCTGGCTCCCGAGGTTCCCCGCATCACGGTTTATTTCATCCACTGTGCGACTTGAATCCTCGGGGCCATCCTGGAATTCCAAACCACCGAACTTCTGATCTGAACCTGGATAGCACTGGAAAGCGGGCACACGACTGATCAGACGCCGCACTCCCTGTCCGAAGTGTCAGTTGCCACGCTCTGAGAGAACTAAAGCGCAGCGATCAGGCAGACCAGCACCCAAGCCACGGCTATCAATGCCACTGAAGGTCGGCGCCCTCTGCCCCACGATGCCCGCCTGGCAGCGCTGACATGCCGCGAGCGAGCGGGGTGAGCAGCGCGTGCCAACAGTGACGACAGCGCCCGAGCCAAGGCTGTCAATGCCACTGAAGGTCGGTACCCTCTGCCCCACGATGCCCGCCCGGCAGCGCAGACATGCCTCGAGCTAGTGGGGCGAGCAGTGCGTGCCAACAGTGACGACAGCACAGGGTCTCGGCCGCTATGCTGTGCACGCTGCTTCTTGGCACATGCTCCAACTACTTCGCCGAGACGTTTGATGGCCGATCTGAGCTGACTCTCGTCCTCAGGCGCATCCGCGCCGAAGGCTTCCTTGTAGAAGGCCTGAAGGTCAGGTAAGTCATCAGAGCCCATGGGGATGGGCACACTCTCAGCGGGGCCATCTGAAGCAGCAGCTTCAGGAGCGCCACCGCCAACGCCCCCAGCAGCAGCAGTGCCTGACCCACCTTCTTCACGAGCTCGGCGCTCAGCTGCTGCCTTGTCCAGCGCGCGAAGCCGATCGAACGTGCCGACGACGTCGTTCCGCATGCTCTGCTCGGCGCCGAGATTCTCGAGCATCCTGCCCACCTCCTCGGTCGACGCGTCGAGACCCGAGATGACGGCGCGCAGAATCGGAGGCCCGCCGGCGAACCCTGGCTGCGGGACCGACATTGCCGCTTTCCTGCGCTGCTCCTCGGCCTCCACCAGCTAAGACGCCGCTACCGACAACACGTCCTTGGCCTCAGTGAGCTGCACCTGGAGGTCGTGGAGTTTCTGCCCAATCGACTTGACATGGCCGGACTGCCGATCTGGGTTTCTCCTAGGCCTGGCGACGGTTGACCAGCTGGTGTAGATGCACGGCAACTGGCTTGTCACGCATGATGCGCTCCTTGAACGCGTCGTGCTCAACGACCACCTCGGCCTTGCACTTGAGGAGCAGCGGGTCCTTCGAATCGCCGATCGCGCAAATGCCTGCGCCGATCTCGCTGAGCATGGCCTTGTCGGCATCGGAGGCGGCGGCGGCGTCGGACTGGGGAGCCTGCACTTGAGCCGACCCGCCCCCCGTTCCACCACCTGCGAGACTCCGAAGCCTCTCGATCTCCTTGTCCTTAGCTGCGAAAGCCTTCAGCTGCTGCTCGAGTTTGACCCTGTCCGCCTGCTGCCTCCTCTCCAGATGCTGCAGGACGGCTTATTTGCATGGTTCCACCATATGGTGCCATCTCTTGGATTGACGCACCACTTGCAATACCACTGTTGCGCTTTCGCTTGGCGGCTGGCAGCATGTCCACTAGAAGGGCGAGGTGCCATCCGCTCGCGAGGAGCGCACAGAGAACTGGAGAGCGAGTACTGATTGTGACTTGCGAGAGTGAACCCCTCAGTACGTTAAGCTGTCGAGGGCCGCAATCCCCTCACGCCAGCATGCCAAGGTCCCTGAGCCGATGCTACGGACCTTGAGCCAAAATGGCTACGGAGAGGAGGAGGAGGAGGAGGAGGAGGAGGAGGAGGAAGAGAAGGAGGAGGAGGAGGAGGAGGAGGAAGACGAGGAGACGAGGAGGAGGGAGAGGAGGAGGAGAAGGAGGAGGAGGCAGGGGAGGACGAGGAGGAGGAACGAGGAACGAGGAGGGAGGACGAGGAGGAGGAAGAGGAGGAGGACGATGAGCGGAGGAGGAGGAGGAAGGAGGAGAAGGAGGAGGAGTAGGAGGAGGAGGGTGGGCGCGAGGAAACGAGGGAGGAGGAGAGAGGAGGAGGAGGAGGAGGAGGAGGAGGAGATAGGAGGAGGAGGAAGAGGAGGAGGAGCAGGAGGATGAGGAGGAGAACATAGAGAAGGAGAGGAGCGACGAGGACGAGAACGGGATGGAGGATGGATAGGAGGAGGAGGAGGAGGAAAGGGAGGAGGAGGAGGAGGATGAGGACGAGGACCGAGGACGAGGAGGAGGAGGACGAGGAGGACTAGGAGAAAAGATGAGGAGGAGGAGGAGGAGGAGGAGGATGAGGAAGGGAGGAGGAAGGAGGAGGAGGAAGAGCGGAGGGAGGACGAGGAGGAGGGGAGGGGGAGGACGAGGAGCAGGAGGATGAGGAAGCGGAGGAGGAGGAGGAGGAGGGGACGAGGCGGAGGACGAGAGAAAGAGGAGAAAGAGAGAGGACGATGAATGGGAGGGAGGACGAATGAGAGGAGGAGGAGGAGGAGGAAGCGGAGGAGGAGGAGGAGGGCAGAGGAGGAGGCCAGAGGAGGAGGAGGAGGAGGAGGAGGAGGAGGAGGAGGAGGAGGAGGAGGCAGGAATGGGGATACTTTGAGAGGAAGGATGAGGGAGAAGGGGGAGGAGGAGCGGGAGGGGGAAGAGCGGGGCGACAGGAAGGAGGAGGAGACGGAGAGGGAGAGGAGGAGCAGGATGAAGGAGGGGATGTGAGGGGGAGGGGAAAGAAGGATGAGGAAGATGGATGAGGAGGAGGAGGAGGAGGAGGAGGAGGAGGAGAAGCAGGAGGAGGAGCAGAAAGGGGAGGAGGGCCCAACCCACCGACATCGTATCTTTTTCACGCGGACCCCCCGAGGCCTCAACCCACCGCCTTTCCATCCCGAACTGTTTTTCGACTGCGGGGGGCCCAGCGAGGAAAGCGAGGACCCATAGAGGCCGAAGATAGCAGAAAACCTTCAGTCGAGATGTTTTCAAGATGCAAGGAGGCACGAAACGAGGGGGACGAGGAGGAAGGAGCGATTCCCAGGACGCCTTCCCATGAGGTGGCGACATCCCAACCCGACCCCCACCAAACATCGATTCTCCCGAATCGATGGAAGGCAGGGGAAGGGCTCGGATTTCGCCACCTGCTCGGCGAACTCCGAACCCTCTCCCCGCCTAGCAACACAGCGACTTGCTGCGCGGGCCACGATAAGCGACATCAGCAGTGCCTCCCGAAGTGGCAGTGTGGCGTCAGGATAGTTTCCAGCTTGACTGGCTACGAAGGTCCTGCTAGGGCCACCGCCCCAGCTAGAGGTTCTGAAACCAGAAGGGGGCCGCGGGAACCACGCCTGCAAGCTTAGGTGCCATGTCACTGTCTTCCACCCCCGCCGCCCATCGAGGGTAGGGCGACGAGGCCAAATCCGCTCGCAATTGGTCCCCGGACTCCTCGCGGGGTCCGCCTGGTGCAACTGTTCACCGCGGATGCGTTCTTGTCGGTCTCCGGGCACCCACGCGGCCCACGGGGGCCGAATCGAAACTGGCCAAAATGGTTTGTTCTGTTCACCCCTGCCGCCCATCGAGTTGCCTGAATCGCTGGTCGGCGAAGGCAGGGCTCGGATCTCGCCGCCGAACCCCCCTGTGGCCGGCATCCCGGCGAGGGGAGGCCTCGACAACACCTGCCTCAGAGCCGCCACTCCGTCCCGACATGTTGCTTTGGACGGAGGGCCGGGGCCTGGCGAGGGCCCAAAACTGATGGTAAGGGTGCACGACACTTTTTTAGCGGGGCTGGCCATCGAAAGTGGCTGAGGATGGGCCAAAGGTGACCGAAGATTCAAGGATGCAAGGGTACCCTTAGGAGGTCGATCATCCTTACCAGCTTGACTGTAGAAGCCGAAAATAGCAGCCACCAACGAAAACATATCTCCGTCGTGATTCTGGTTCACGACACGATGAGGCCTGGCGCGATCCCAAGGACGCACCCCCGCCCCCTTGGGAGCGGCATCCCCAGGACGCCTCCACCCCCGCGACATCTCCAGCGATCCACAGGACGCCCCGGGAGCGTCCTGGGAATCGCTGAGGGTGCCGCTAACCTAGTGGGGATCGCTCCTGCCTGATGGTCATCGCTCCTCCCTGTTGAGGGATCGCTGGCGTCCTGGGGGCCGCTCCTTCCTAACGGGGGGCTCCCTCCAATTTGGAAGGAGCGATCCCCAGGACGCCCCCTATCCATACGGTGGCGGCACCCCAACCCGACCCCCACCAAACATCGATTCTCCGGAATCGATGGGAGGCAGGGGAAGGGCTCGGATTTCGCCACGTGCTCGGCGAACTCCGAACCCTACCCCCGCCGCCCATCGAGTAGCCTCAATCGTTGGTCGGTGGGGGAAGGGTTCAGACCTCTCGACTACACGCAAGAGTGACCCCAGGCAAGATCGACCTTTGGTGCGCGGCTTTAGGGGGCCGTGGGTGGGCCAAATCCGAGCGAGCAGGCCAGTGATGGGGGTGACCCCTGCGAACCCGCACCGAAGGTCACTCCTGCGAAGGGTCCCCTTTGCGCGAAGCCGAACTAGGAAGGAGCGATCCCCCCTCCCTTGTGGCTGAAACCTGGCAAGGCGAGAGCTGGGGCCGCGGCGGATCTTCACGGCGGCGTCCTTTCCCCTCTGGAGGACGCACCTGCCCGTGCACACCTGGCGGCGGGAAGGGCACGCGGGGAGGGGGGAGGCTCGAATTTCGACCCTCGAGTAAGACTCGGACGGGTATGAAGCGGAAATCTCTGAGAATCGGCGGGCCCAGAAGATCTCTCCGGCGCCGCGGCCGCTTCAGAGCGTTCCAAAAGGCTTCTGAACGGATCCATCTCGAATCCAACCCGTCCGATCGAGGCTCCGCGCCGCCGCGGCTGGATTCCCCGTGGGCTTCGGTCCCGGAAACGGCTTTCGAGAGGGAAGAGGAGGAGGAGGAGGAGGAGGAGGAGGAGGAGAAGGAGGAGGAGGAGGAGGAGGGGGAGGAGGAGGAGGGGGAGGAGGAGGAGGGGGAGGAGGAGGAGGAGGAGGAGGAGGAGGAGGAGGAGGAGGAGGAGGAGGAGGAGGAGGAAGAGAAGCGCCCTGGCCAAGAGGAGACCCTGGACTTCCCCGACCCGAACCAACTCCGGAACCTCAGGTTCCTTCCTGTCCGCGCGCGCGCCGCGGCAATGGCGGCGGGGGCGCGGTCTGGGGGGCGCCAGCCTGGCGCTGGCCCGCACGACCCGCTGAAGCCTGGCCTGCCCTATGGCTACAATAGACGCACGAGGGCGGGCACGCAGTGTATGATTCGTGCGAACACACAAGTCCAGACACAAAACGATCGACAGCAACGCAGCATCAGAGAGGGGGGGAAACTGATACACCTGAATTCGGGCAGTTCCAGTGGCTAGACAGAAAACAACCAGAGCGTGGGCAGAAAGAGGCCTAACAAATCGAACATATGACATTCGAGGACATGTTTGAGCGTGTCTCCGTCTTGGAAACCACGCGCGGGGCGTTCAAGGGTCGGGCACCGAAATCGGCCCGATGTGCACCAGGCGCTGCATACTGCTTAAAAAAAAAGCCAGCACCGTGGGAGGAGCAACCTGGGCGGACCTCCAGAAAACCATCATGATCCGATCGAAATCACGATCGGACAGCCCAGGATGACTTTTCCAAAATTCTACCTAGCAGGGCGGGCTTCATGGACCGAGTGGAACGTGCATGTAGGACACGCGCAGCGCGCTTTTGGAAGGGGGACCTCATACTGGGGCATGTCGGGTATGCTCCACATGAAAACACCATTGTCGACCATGGCACGCATAATGCTATCCTTCCACCAGGGGTGTTGCTTCCAGCCGAAAATACAGTCATCGTATTGAGAGAAGCAACCAGGAGCCTCCGCAATCTCCCGGAGAAAGGGTGATTGTGGGGCCGCTCGATGAATGGCCGCGCGGCCAACCTTTCCAGGCTGGGTGAGCATTTACATCGTGGCGGCACTGATGGCATTGTTCGGGCCGGCCGTGAGCCTCTGGAGAATCTCTCGCTCGAGCTTGAGACGCGGGCTCGTTTGCGGCAGCGGTTTGCGCGGGAAGGCGAAGGCGGAGAACGCGAGCATATTGCACTGGGCGATGTTTTCGGTCAAGCCTGACTCGACGCTGCGGATCATCTGGATGCGCCGAACGTGCCTACGAAGAGCTGGCTCCTGCGGGGCGCCCGCGCTGCCAGGGCCAAGGCGCGCCCCGTGATGCCGCCCGCGAGGGCGCGACAGATGGCCAGGAACCTGGAGACCGCGCTCCGCCAAGGCACCAAGAAATTCAGCCTCCGAGGGCCCAGGGAAGACCGCCGCCCGCGCTGATGTGCGGGCCCAATCCAGGCCCAGCGAGGCCCCGCGCGCTCATGCTCGAGACCGCAGCAGAAACAATGTCCCCCGACCCGATGCCCACGCCATCGGCGAAGGCTCGCAGACAGTGCGCAGGGCGCGGCAGAACGAGGCAGATCTTCCTTAGCGCTGGGTCAGCAGCTAAAGCGCAGAGGGAGCTACTCGCAGGACATTCTTACTTGATGCCACGGGGAAACCAGTCACCGATGTCGTTATGCATTCCGCGATGCGAAATCGCGATCCACATGTCACGATAAAGATATTCGACAGCTCCGATGAAAAAAGAGGGCGTGCCCCCGCGGCCCGCAGCGCGGCGAGCGTGGCGCGGCGCAGCAGACTCAGAAAAGCTGCGCGGACATCGCGCATGATGCTGGCGTCGGTTGAAACGTTGCGCTGCTCATGCCAATGAGCTGGATACTGGAGTTCGATCACGCTTCCATTCATTTTGCGACCGCGACAAACCCGCGCTGTTCACGCGTGCGTGGGCACCGACATATGTAGGCGAAGGACTGGTTGAGGGCGAGTGAAATGATCTGTGGCGTGCGCGACATGGCTAGAGGACGTGCAACCTCGGGCTGACGGATGCACAATTCCTGATCATGCGGGTCATCACTTTTGGCTGAAAATGCCGGCGCCGAAATTGAACTCGCGGTGGCGCGCGCAGCTGTCCAGAATGCGTTCGCGCGGGGCATGCAAGGCCGAGCTTCCATCGCCCCCCCGCACGCACGCACCCGCTATCAGGTGTCCCGCCAGGCCCTGGGGCACCGGCGTGAGTTTTTCCCCATCGCCTTGAACCATCATCCTCCGGCATCCAAACAATGTCATTGGATATGCGGGGGGCGCGTGCAAGAAGCTCGTCAGGCGAGGCTCCATCCACCTCCACCTCCTGATGTAATTTGCCACAATGACGGGCCAGTTCCTGAGCTCCAGTTCAGGGGCCCATGACGGGGGCGCCAAGCGGGTCCGAAATCGCCAGCAAAGAGACTGCGGCAGCGCAGACTATCCAGGCCGTTTGAAACGCGTGCAACGCGTTTATGTGCTGCTGCTTCTTCTGCTAGCTGATGTCACTGGCGGCTTGGACTTGCTCGACCTGACCACCAATCTGCAGTGACTTCAGGGTGCGCAGAAAATGGTGAAAGCCAACGTAGCTGGCGTGCCAGCACCCCTCTGCGTTGAAATACTGGTGCAGACGTGGAAATGCTTGCACTGCGCGCCTCAAAATACCGTGAGACCATGGGCGCAATCCCCGCGTGGCCGCCAGGGCCCGCGATGTGCATTCTGAGAGCGAGCTTGCCCACGCTCGTTCGAGCTGAACCATGACTGGCTTAGCGGCAGCTTTATTGGCCCCCCGAACTTCCCCCGCCCTCTCGATCGGGCCCCCAGAGATCTCGCCGCCTCCAAGAAGAGAGCCCCGAAAAACCTTTGGAAACATGCTATGCTTGGCCACCCAAGACTGGGTGCTGGGAGCACTGCGGGAGCACTGAAGGGCCAGAACCAAGTAAAAAGTGGCATGATCGGAAGACGCGGCGAGGTCGGCCGTGCAGCCGAACGCATCTGAGCTGGGAGTAAAATCAAGCAGCAGGCCAGCAGAGAGCGAAGTGCAAATGCGAACTATGCGCAAGACGGACAGGATCATGGACCGGCCATTCTGGGACCCTGGCTTGAGGACGCCTGGGGCCACGCTGAGGCAATCCAAAAGCCGCCCGAGGGCCTCCTGCAGACAGTTTTGATGCATCGAGGGCTCTTTTGGGCAATCTTGGGGCCCTTGCGCGTCTCCTTGGGGCCTTTTGGGGCAACTTGGGAGGCTCATGGGGGCCTCGTCGGACCACTTGGGGACTCTTGGGGCCTTTTCTGGGCCTCTTAGGGTGGGGGACTCTGCCATTAGGTTCGCGTTCCCATTCTTGGGCCTCTCTCGGGACTGTCTCGGGCCCTCTCGGGCCGTCTTGGGCGCCTCAGGCACTGTCATGGGGCCTCGTGGGCTGTCGTGGGGCCCTCTTGGAGGCCTCTTCAGCTATCGTAGAGCGGTCTTGGGGGCCTCTTGGGCCGTCTTGGAGCGTCGGGGCGCCAAATGGCTGAAACGCTAAAATGTACAAAAACCACCGGAAAATCCGTGATGTTGGCTTCTTGGGGACCTTGTGGGAATGCGGGCCATCCGGAGGTCATCTTGGGCGCGTTAGAACAGTGACTCCGCGATAGTAGGCCTCCTGGAGGCCTCTCGCATAGTAGGCCTCCTGGAGGCCTCTCGCGGCCTTTTCCATCTGCGTTGGGGCTGTCTTGGGCGGTCTGGAAGCGCCCCTGGCGCCCCGACACCCCCATGGCGCTTCGGGGGCCCCCCTGCCTCGGTCCAGGGATAGATATATATATATATATATATATATATATATAGAGAGAGAGATAGGTTTATACATTATATAGACGTATACATGACATATGTCTATATTGTGTCTTCGGGGGCCTCTTAGAGAGAGTTCTGAAGCCTTTTGAATGCCGGCTTGGGGCCTCTTCGAGCCTCTTTGGGGTTTCTTGGTGGCCTCTTGGGGCCTCTTGGGGGTCTCTTGGGGCACATGTTGAAAAGGAACCGCCCTCCATCCTTGAAGCGGTTGTAAGCTTTGAAACTGAATGTGCGCGGCGCTAGGTCGAGAGCCACATGTTGAAAAACACCCGCCCTCCATCTTTGACACCAGTGCGAACTTTTAAGCCGAATGCGTCAAGCGCTAAAACGAGAACCACATTTTGAAAACGACCCACCATCCATCACGGAAACTGTTGCAAACGTCTACGACGAATGTGGGCGGCGCTGCGGCGGGAGTCGCATTTTGAAAACGTCCCGCCCTCCGTCCTTGACACTGCTGCAGATTTCAAGATACAGGATCATAATTGCTGAGAAAATCGCACGCAAAACGCCCGACACGTCTGGGGGCGCGACAAGGATGAGTTATTAGACAGAGAAAGGGGTGACGGGGGGAGGGTGGAGGTAATGGTGCTTTATCCACTCTTCCGCCCCCGTTTGACCTTCTTGTTCTCATGGTGCACGCACTGCTTGCAATATCTTGGTGTGATCACGCGTGTGGTTCCCCTGTTGTCAGCACATGCGGTCAGACGTAACGGCCATCCAGCCGACTCACCAGCCTATTCTCGATTTGAGGCTGGTCCCAGTTGCAACTCACTCGTCCTCCGCCTCCCCGGCCGCACCATAGTCGAGTCTATGTGTGCACTCAGTCGCTCTGCAGCGCTTTCTGTGCTATTTTTCGAAGAGCTGCGAATCGCGCACTCTTATGCCCATGCGTCCTTCCGGACGCTCGGCTCTGGTGGCGGTGGTGGTCAAAAAAGGGTGAGCAGGGCGAGGAGGTAGGTATGCTCCGCGTCATGAGAGGCCCAGGGCCCGACACCTAGAGTAATGCAAACAACTCCACCTACGCAACGCTCCTGGAAACCAGGTCTCGCTGCCTTCCAACTACGACGGTCTTGCGCCTCTTCGAGCCGATATTCCCCGCGCTCGGAAAAAAACAGTACATTTGGAGGATGAGGGCGAGGCGGAAGAGGACCAGAGTGAACCTAAGACGCATAAGCAATGCTGCACCACGCCCGCCCGTCTCAAGCCCCCCCTCATGAACCCATGCGCGAATTCCCTTCCAATGCGGGAAGTGCCCCCCTGAAAGACGAGCGCCCCAAGGCCCTGCAATTCGGACGAAAATCCCACACGCCTGGTCGTGAAAACACAAGGGAGAATCACATGAGAGCCTCGACCTGAACAGGACCCCCCTCCATACATGTAGCCGTGGCACAAGGTTATATGTCTTAGTATAGTGGAAGCCTTACGCGAAATGTATATGCTGATCAGGAATCACCCTCCATCCGTATAAGTGTTAGGAAGCTTCCTAAAATGACTGTGCGCGGCTAGCTCTACGGCGAGACCCCCCTTTGTTGTGAGAAGAAGCTGCTCTCCATCCATGTAACTGCTGGACGATGTTGAGACGAATGTGCGCACCGCCAAAAAGGGAACCACATGTGGAAAACGAACCGCCACAAACATCCGTGCAACTGCTGGAAACACTAAGCACGAATGTGCGCGACGCTACTGCGAGAACCAAATTTTGAAAACGCACCACCTCCATTCGTGCAACTGCTTGGGAAAATTAAGACGAATGTGCGCTGCGCTGCGGCGAGACTCACTGTGAACACCAACCATCCTCCATCCGTGCAATTGTTGGAAGCTTTTAAATGAATGTGCGTGGCGCTGAAACGAAGGCCGCATTTTCAGACCCCCCCCTCCATCCGTGTAACTGCTGGAAACGTTTGAAAATAATGTGCGCGGCACTAAAGCGAGAGCCACATTTGGACCCCCTCTCACATCCGTGTATCTGTTGGGAATGTCGAGCTTGGGGGTCGTACACAGTGAGCTCTCAAGCGAAACGCACGGCCCGCCCAACCGACACGTCTTTTGGCCAGACGGGGAATCGTCGATAAGGAAAAAGGATGAATGAGGAGGAGGAGGAGGAGCAGGAGGAGGAGGACGAGAAGGAGGATGAGGAGGAGGGGGAGGTGGAGGATGCGAGGGAAAGGGCGCGTCCTTCCATCCTCCTTCTTCTCTGGGCCTTTGGGGGCTTCCTCCTTGTCGCCACGGCTTGGTGCGGCTCGGAAAACGGGCATGGATGGATCCAGGGTCGGTCAGGGGGCCAAATTCGAGCGGATTTGAGTTGGAAGGGCGGCAACTATACACCTACCTAGTAGACCCGCCTGCAGCGGGCAAGGACGCTGGGTGGGTGTGTGTGCGCAACAGCCACACGTGTCCTCGAGCAGCAAGACCGCGGGAGCAATGCGTGTCCATGCCTTCGGCGAAGCTCCCCAGCGAATGCGTGTCATGGCCGCCCCTGGGCTATTCGCCCTTGTTGTCGCTTCTGAGCAATTGTGGACCGGTTGCGTCTCTCTGGCGTGAGGAGCTGAGCCCATCTGCCAAGACGCCCCAGAAACAATCCCAACATGTGGCCTCGCTACCCACGAGCAGAAGCCAGCCTACCCCGACTCCACGACAGCACGACACCTGACACCCGCCGCGAAAGCAGGACTACTTCTTCCCGCCGCCCACCCTGACGACCTGGGGAACTCGCGCACAGATTCGCGCGCACGCCGCGCACGACACGAACACGACGTGCGATCTCCTCTGCGGGGGCGGCCTCAAAGACAGAGGAGGGAGAACCGAACCGTGAGGGAGGATGCGAACATGGCGGCGCATACTCCTGCCTCCTGCCACCTCCTACAGTCGGGCTGCGACGCCTTTCTGGCTATGAGAAATCCTGTGAACCTGGAAATCTCAAAACATCTCATTATCATGACCTCTTGCTCCTCTGTGAATCCGCCCGCCCACGTGGCAGGTTTCCCCACCGCCCCCGTGGTGGTCCCAAAGCGGCCTCCTGGAGCCTGAATCTCGGAGATCTACTTACGGGGATCAATCCAAACCCGGATAAGTCGGGCTTTGCAGGATCCTGCAACATCCTACAGGATCCCGCAAGATCCTGTGCGCTGGCCGGGGTCAGTGCAAGCCTGGCTCTGCAGGATCCTGCAAGATCTGGCGTTCTGGCTGACCTCCGTTTCAAGGCCCCCGACGAAGCCGACCGCCCACGTGGCCGGTTTGGCCAGCAATCCCCTGGTGGTCCCGAATGAGCCACGGCCCCCTGGAACACGATTTAGCCTGGTCCTGGGCCCGTCCGGACCCCCCCCCCCTTCCCGGGGCGAACGAGAAGGGGGTTAGCGAATCCACCCGCCAGCGTGGCCAGTTTCCCCGGCGCCCCCTGGTGGTCCCGACCGAGCCACGGGGCCGCCTGCAGCCCGAATCTCCCATGGGCCCAGGGACCTCCGTGGCTCACGGCGTCAGGGCTCGAGTGCCCTTCCCCAGGGGGCCCAGGGACACACAAATAAACGGGCACGAGTCCCAGGATTCCCCATAGTTTCCACATACCCTGGATGTTCGCCTCCCCTCCACTTCCCATATTTTCCAGATACCCCTGGGAATCGACGATTCTTTGTCTGCTGACTATACCGAACTCAGGATAAGGAGCATCGGGGGGCCAAGCCCCCAAGTCAATCTTCTTCAGGTGCATGGAACCAATGTGGAAGAAGAGGGGCAGGAGGAGGGACCGCAGCGTTGCCCCTGACCCCCTCCCTCCCCCAACTCGGGGCGTCCGCGAGGGGGGCGTCCAAGAGGGGGGCCGCAAATCAGGGCCCCAGGCATGTGCGCTGAAGACGCGGGACCAGGGGACGCGTTGAAAGGAGAGCAGGCGCCATGACATCTGGAACAAGATCGTGGCCCCAGCGGTCGACTCCTCGCAGAAGGTTGAGCTCAGGCCGGCTGTGGGCTCGGTGGTGTTTGGGGTTCTGCCAGGTATCGTTTACCGATCCCTATCCCCACCAGCGTGGGCTGGGCCCCACTGGCCGATTTACCCCCCTAGATGGGGATATAGGCCGTGTTCTTCGGGTTTCGAGGGGTGCACCCCCAACTGGGGTGTAATGTGGTGGGGGTTTGGAAGGGGATGAGCATGGGGACGGGGATGGGTTAAAGGATACTGAGAGATACAAATCGTGTGCTTCGCGCTGCAGATGGTATTCCCGTGACTCCCTCGGTCATATCATGGCCCAGGCCATGATACAGGTGTCGGAAGCAATCAAGCAACACTCACGCGTAACATATACTGTGAACTCCCCCGCTCCCGAATGCAATGTTGGTTTCGGATCTTCCGAGTTTGAATGTCCGAGCGGAGATGCGTGACCGTGACCGTGACAACTTTGAAGTTCGGGGGAGGATTGAAGTGTTACTTCTTTGTTTCTCTCAATCGTATCCTCCCTCGTCATCATGAACTGGATCGGCGCAAATTGGCAGCCGAGTCGGAGAAGTCGACTCGGCGGAAATCGGCAGGCCAGCAGGCCTCCGTTGAGAAATCGGAGTCCAAATTGGAATCCGAAGCCGAATCGAGCCGGCATCGGAAGCCACCGGAGTCGAATCGAATCGGAATCGAAGCCATCGGAGGGGTCGAAAGATGGACCCTGCGTCATCACCCCCCTCTTGGCCGCCTCCGACCCGCCCCCGGCGAGAGGGTGGACGGTCCGCCCCTCGCCGAGGCCTCCACGTCGAACAGCCGCGCCCGGACCTCGCTGCGCTCGTCGCCGCGGTGCAGGAAGGCCGCGGTCCAGCCCGCGCGCGGGGTCGCAGACTCGCCAGGGGGGAAGGGCGTCGGCGCTGGCGTTTGCGTCTGCGCTGGCGTCGGCGGCGGCGTCGTCGTCGTCCTCGGCGTCGTCGTCGTCGTCGTCGCCGTCGTCGTCGTCGTCATCGTCGCCGTCGTCGTCGTCGTCGGAGGAGGAGGAGGAGGAGAAGGAAGAGGAGGAGTCGGAGAAGGAGTCGTCGTGGTCGTCAAGGTCGGAGGGGGAGGAAGGGGAGGAGGAGAGAAGGAGACGCCTCGAGTTTTCGCTTCCGCGGCCTGCCTACGAGAAGGAGGAGGAGGGGAAGGGGGAGGAGGAGGAGGAGGAGGACGAGGAAGCAATAGTAAACCAAAGATGCATAAACGATGCTGCAACACACCCTCACGTCCCAAGTCCCTTCCTCATACGCCCCTACAAAGTGTCCTTGTCATTACAAGAAGCGCCCCCGCGAAAGACCAGCACAGTTGGGCCTGCCAATTCGGCAAAGGCCCCGCTTTGAAAAGGAATCTCACCAGCCTCTGGGTGGAGGTGGTTTAGGGCGCTTCCTCTTCCAACCCCCTTCTCCTTCTTCGGGAGGGGTTCACCCCTGGACCTGGAGGGGGGGGGCGGCGGCGGCGGCATGTCAGAGGGTGGTTTTGGGTGTAAGAAAGCTCCAAGAGGGCATCCGAGTTTCCCAACATGACCTCCAAGATGGTCTAAGATAGCGCGCGAACGCTCAAGATGACTTCCAACATGCTCCACAAGATACCAAGACCAGTCCAAGACGTGACTGCCAAGGAGGCCTCCAAGAGGTCAACTCCTTCAACCACCATATTAAAATCAATGATTGTAGCCGTCTCGCATTTTCGCTTCCGATGAGCTCCCGCGGCCTCAAGATGGCTACAAGAGGGCCCCACGAGGGGCGCTCGATGGCCTCAAGACGGCCCCACAAGAGGCGACGCTGGTGGCTCCAGAGAGGCGATGCTAACTAAGAACCACCCTCTCCGATCAACGAAAACATTGAACAAAGCATTGGGTTCGACAGATCTTAGCTTTTCGGGGGTATCCTTCGGAGGCATTTGGCCCCTGGCCCCAGACTTTTTAAGATGGCCTCCAAGATGGCGCAGTATTGTCCGAGTTGGCCCACGATGGCTTCCAACATACCTCGAAGAGGCCCAGTGGTGGCCCCGAGATGCTCCACTCTACTCGCCACGGGGCAAGGGTCGAAGGGGGAAACATGTACTACTCCACTGTACTCGAAACGTGGCATCCCCTGCGGGGCGAAACAATCATTACTCAACTCTACTCGGCACGTGGCAACGAAGCTAAGCGTGGCAATACCGCGCGGGCCGACAATACACAATCTCACTCTACTCGCCACGTGGCAACGCTGGGGGGGGGGGGGGGCGAAACAGCACACCTCCATTCTCTTCGCCACGTGGCCACGGCGTGGGGCGGGAACAAACACAATACCACTCCATTCGCAACGTGGCAATAACAGGCCGGCGAAAGAAGTACAACACAATTTTGTGCGCCACGTGGCAAGCCGCACAACGAACAACAACTACTCTATTGTATTCGACGTGGCAACGCCGCGGAGGCGAACGCAAACATCTACTCGGCACGTGGCTCCACCACGGATGAAACTGACGCCGCCGACAATACGGACGACAACGACGGCGACGACGACGACGGACGACGACACTGACGCCGACGAGGACGGACGATGACATCGAGAACGACGACGACAAAGACGACGATGACGACGACATCGACATCGACATCGATGACGACGACGACGACGACATCGACAAACGATGACGCCGACGACGACAACGACATCGACATCGACGACAAAGACGACATCGACATCGACGACGACACCGACGATACCGACGACGCTGACGACGACGACGACGACGACAATGACGCCCGCCCGCCGGCGCACCCGCCCGCCATCCCGCGAGCCCACCCGCCCGCCTTCTCGCCCGCCCGCCCGCGGGCGCACCCGCCCGCCCGCGCACCAGCCGAAGCGCGCGTCCGCCCGCGCGCCCGCCCGCGCGCAACCCGCCTGCCTTCTCGCCCGCTCGCCCGCAGGTCCTCTTTGAGCCCTCCTAGGGCCTTCCCAAGCCGTCTTGGAGGGGCCCGAAGAAAGTCAGCTCCAAAATTACCCCAAGAGAGTCCAGTCAAAACGCGCTGTGACACAACGGTTTTGTCACACTGTGACTTCGGAGCTCCATCGTGGAGCCCTCTTGAGCCTCTTGGAATCCTCTTGAGGCCCTCTTGGAGCCTTCTAGGGGGCCCTCTTAGAGCCCTCTTCGGGATTGAGTGGGCGGAAGAGGCAGCTTGAGTGGGAGGAGGTAGCTCGAGTGGGAGGAAGAGGCAGCCGAGGCAGAAGGGAGACGACGAGAACCCTCTTCGCGGTTGCGGGGCTGGCCAGGTTTCGCGTGGAATTTTAGTTTTCGGTGCGGATTCCAAATGTCGCGATTCCAAATAAATGCAAATTTCTCAAATAATTCTGGGCTTCGGTGCGAATTCCGGGTTTCGCGCGGAATTCTGAGTTTCGGTGGGGATTCTGGGTTTCGCGTTTCAAGCTGTTCGGGGTTTCGTCCGAAACAGTTCCAGGTTTGGCGGCGATTCCCGTGTTCGCCGCTGCACCCAGGGACACCTCTGGCAACAACCGAGGGAGGGGAGGTGAGGGGGAATGGGGAGGCGGCGTGATCCTGAAACGCCGCGGCGACCACTCATCACGCTACTCCTTCTCACCTCCCTCCCCCTCCTCCATCTCCCCCTCCGCCTCCTCCGACCTGGGGGAGAAAGGGGGGGAAGCGGCTGGATCCTCGGGCGCTGCGGTGACCCGGCAACACGCTCCTCCTGCTCGTACCCCCGCCCCTCTTTCAGATCCTCCTCTGTTTCTTCAGCTGCCCCGGCTTAGGCTATGTGGCCGCGGCGTCAACGCACGAAGTAGAGGAGCAGCGCGAAACGTGCCACCGCTGTCGACGTATGCGAATGACGTAGGCAAAGGGCTAAGGTGAAGACGATTAGACCGCAAGGGCGCAGAGCAACAGCACAAACTGCAATTCGAAGCAGGGGCGCATCGAACTGACCTAAATCATGCTCGTCCACATCCACCTCCTCCTGCCGCTTCTCGTCCTCCTCCTTCTCCTCCTCCTCCTCCTCCTCCTGCTCCCCCTCATCCCTCTATTCCTTGTCCTCTTGTCCTCCCGTCTGTTCCGCCCTGCTCCCTCCTTCTCCTCCGCCAATTTCCCTCCTCTTCCTCCCCCTCCTTCATCCTTCCACCTTCTTCTGAGCAGCTCCTCGTCGCATCATCAGGCGTATGGGAACGGCTGTCCAGGCGTTACGCCTAAAACACCCTCACCAATTATGGCCACGAAGCAAACCTCCCGACAATTGCAGGGATGGAGAGGGTGGTTTTCAAGCTGCTGCTCTCGCCTACCGCTACTCCTCGTGCTCCTCGTGCTCCTCATGCTACTTCTGCTTTCTCTCTCTCTCTCTCTCTCTGTCTCCTCCCTCCTACCTCCTCCCCGCTCGCCGTTCTCAGCTCGCTCCTCTCTGCTCGCTCCCTGCCCCCCACACATACATGCTTCCCTTCAGTGCTTGCTCCCTCCTCCTCGCCCTCGCTACTGGAGAGTCACAACACTCTCGGCGTTCCCATGCCAGCCGATGTTCAGGACAAAGATACCCTTGTCAAAGGGGGCCCTGAGCAAAATGACTCGCGCTGAGAGAGGATAACGGCAAGATGGGTAGAGGGAATGGGAGAAGGAAAGGAAGAGAGGAGAGATGAAGGTGGAAGGGTAGGGCAGGTGGGATGCACGTGAGGGAAAGGACGGAGGAAGGGTGAGGAGAAGGGAGGAATGGCACGGTGAGGAGAAGAGAGGAAGTGGGTGGGATGGCACGGTGAGGAGAAGAGAGGGCGAGGGCGGGAGGGAGGGGCGGAGGGCGGAGAACGGCCCGAGCCCTTGAGCCTCGAAGATCGAAGTTCGAGCCTTTTACCTTGGTCGGACTTTGGCGACGAGGCTGAAGCGTTACTGTGAGAAATCAGTGCGAGGCCGCCTTTGGCCTAGCGACAGACAAACAGAGCAGACGACGCGTGCAGAACAGGACGTGCAAGCAGGGAGGTTTCGAACCTCCCCACCCTCCTCCTCGCTCCTCCTCCCCACCCTCCTCCTCGCTCCTCCTCCTCCTCCTCCTCCTCCTCCTCCTCCTCCTCCTCCTCCTCCTCCTCCTCCTCCTCCTCCCTCCTCCTCCTCCTCCTCCTCCTCTCCTCCTCCTCCTCCTCCTCCTCCTCCCTCCTCCTCCCTCCGCCTCCTCCTCCTCCTCCTCCTCCTCCTCCTCCTCCTCCTCCTCCTCCTCCCTCCTCCTCCTCCTCCTCCTCCTCCTCCTTCCCTCCTCCTCCTCCTCCTCCTCCTCCTCCTCCTCCTCCTCCTCCTCCCCTCCTCCTCCTCCTCCTCCCTCCTCCTCCTCCTCCTCCTCCTCCTCCTCCTCCTCCTCCTCCTCTCTCCTCCTCCTCCTCCCCCCCCTCCTCCCCCTCCCCTCCTCCTCCTCCTCCTCCTCCTCCTCCTCCTCCTCCTCCTCCTCCTCCTCTCCACCTCCTCTCCGCTCCTCCTCCTCCTCCTCCTCCTCCTCCTCCTCCTCCTCCTCCTCCTCCTCCTCCTCTTCCTCCTTCTCGCTCCTCCTCCTCGCTCCTCCTGGCTCCTCCTGGCTCCTCCTCGCTCTTGCTCGCCCCTCCTCGCTCATTGCTCGCCCCTCCCGTCGGCGCTCCTGTCCAAGCCGCGACCGCCCCCCCCCCCGGGCAGCGGGGCCTCCACCAGCGCCAGCTCTAGGCGGGGGGCGGCGGTTTCCGCGCGGAGCAGCACCAACGCGAAGACGCGGCATCCTCGCCCCCACGGGGGAGCAGGAACGCGATGAGGAAAGCGGGGCGAGCTGGGACCGGGCGGTGCCGGGGCTGCGGCAGGAGCAGCAGCAGCAGCAGCAGCAGCAGGAGGAGGAGGAGGAGGAGGAGGAGCAGGAGGAGGAGGAGGAAGAGAAGGAAGAGGAGGAGAAGGAATAGGAGGAGAAGGCAAATAGAGGAGGAGGAGGAGGAGGAGGAGGAGGAGGGGGAGGAGAAGGAGGAGGAGGAGGAGGAGGAGGAGGAGGAAGAGGGGGAAAGAGGGGGAAGGAGGGGGAGCGGGTAAAAAGGTAAAGGCGCTCAGGGGGCAGCTCCAGGTCTCGGCAAGGAAACAGGATGCCCGAATGCTCCTGCGAGAGGTACGGATGCAAGGCCAAGCGCTGCTGCGAGGCCTGCCTGCCATACGTGCTCCTGCCTTGTGGCGAACGGCACTCGGAAGTACAATGTGCCGCCGCCCTTCTCCTCTCTGTTTTCCTGCTCATCATCTGTTTTTCCTTTTCCTCATCCTCCTCCTCCTGCTGCTATTGCTGCTGCCGCTGCCGCTGCCGCTGCCGCTGCCGCTGCCGCTGCTACTGCTACTGCTACTGCTACTGCTACTGCTACTGCTACTGCTACTGCTACTGCTACTGCTACTGCTCCTCCTCCTCCTCCCCCTGCTCCTCCTGCTGCTCCTCCGCGAGGCAATCAAGAAGGGTCCTTTGAGGCTGGACGGCAGCGTGCTCGCGCCTGGGAACGGAAGGGCAGAAAGAGCGAGAGAGAAAGAGAGGAAGACAGACAGAGAGAGAGAGAGAGAGTGAGTGAGTGAGAAAGAGGGAGAGAGAGAGAGAGAGGAAAAACAAAGAGAGAGAGAGAGAGAGAACGCAGGTACGCCCCGCTGGAAGGCAGAAGAGTGCACGAGCATCGAGGAGGGGGGAGGAGGAGGAGGAGGAGGGGGAGGAGGAGGAAGAGGAGGAGGAGGAGGAAGAGGAGGAGGAAGAGGAGAAGGAGGAGGAGCGAGGAGCGAGGAGCAAGGACGAGGAGGGGGAGGAGGAGGAGGAGGGGGAGGAGGAGGAGGACGAGGAAGAGGAGGAGGGGGATCGAGGAGAAGGAGAAGGAGGAAGGGGAAGAGGAAGATGAGGAGACGGAATAGTAGTAGTAGTAGTAGTAGTAGTAGTAGTAGTAGTAGTAGTAGTAGTAGTAGTAGTAGTAGTAGTAGTCGTAGTAGTAGTAGTAGTAGTAGTAGTCGTAGTAGTAGTAGTAGTAGT